ATTGGCCACACCCACTACAAACTTCTCCTTAAAGTAATTTTTAAATGGATAAAAATATATAAAATGAATTTGAAATCCTCCCTATTTCTATAACTGGACTGCAATCTCTGTAATCAGACCTAATTCCTTCAGGAAGGTGTTCTAAGGCTATATACAGAGTATCCAATAAGTTGAGAGAAATATTTAAAGGGGTGATAGTAGATCTTAACAGCAATAAAAAAAGTTTATATAAATAATCGATATAAACCTGATTTTCAGTTGGAAAGTAGGAAATTAAAGTTTTGTGTGTTTTGAAGTCACATTTTTTGACAAATAGGAAACGTCAAATAAAATATTTTATTTAAATCTTCATCTTGTTCCTTATTCTCCTACCCACCACACGCAATTTTCCGATACTTGGTTAGACCTTTATATCTCTGACTCTCCCATCAAAATCCTTTCTTCTTCTCAACACCCAGTTCCATTTCTTTCATCACATGACCTGATCCAAATTACATACGACCTACCCGTAAAATCCTTCACTCCCAAAATAGTTTCATACCGCAATTTAAACCTTCTTTCCTATGAATCCCTTTAACCACACCTTAATTCTCTCCAATGGGACACCATATATTCCTACAACTCCATTGATCCTATGGTATCCACCCTGACCTCAAACCTACAATCCATATTAGAAATCCACGCTCCTCTGAAAACCAAAACTTTACGCCGTCCCACTGCACCTTGGCTGACCTGTGAGATAAAGGAAATGATAAGAGGAAGAGATGCAGCAAGGCGCAAATACCGTCGAACCCAGCATATAATAATCATTGCAGAACTCCATATTCCCATCCTCCTGGAAAACTGCCCTAGTCCAACCTTTGAATAAAATTGCCAATCCTACCTCACTGCACGACTTCCGTCCTATTTCTCTCCTATCCAACCTTTCAAAGCCGCTAGAACGCCTTGTCCAAAATCAGCTCTCAAACTTCCTAGAGGAACGTTCCTTTATCAACCCATTCCAATCTGGCTTCCGACCCGGCTATTCAACGCAATCTGCTCTGCTTAAAATAACCCATGACCTACAAAATTCCATTGAACACCAAAACCTTACTATCCTCATCCTTCTAGATTTTTCCAAAGCGTTTGATACAGTTGACCATAACATCCTTCTTACCAAATTGCAAAATCTTCCTCTATCCAAAAGTGTCCTGCGTTGGTTCAAATCCTTCCTTTCCAATCGATCCCAGTATGTAGTAGTCCCTGATCAACCTCCTTCAAACACACTTCCCCTCTCCTGTGGTGTCCCTCAGGGTTCCTCTCTCTTTCCTACTCTGTTTGCTATCTACATCAATGACCTTCCCCTCCTGATCCGTCACTCCCAATACCACATCTATGCAGATGATTTCCAAATATACCTTTCCTTTCCGCCCTCCGACCTATTATCTGCCACAGAAAAACTTAAAAAAAAAAAAAAAGAAGACTTAGATGGAATTTGTGACTGGGCAAGAACAAACAAGTTGAAGTTGAATGCCGATAAGACAAAGGAAATCTTAATAGGCTCCAATCACCTCCTTAAAACTGTCCCTAATATTCCAACTCTGTTCCTACTCAATAATCCCATCAAATTTCACCCCACCATCAAAAATCTTGGAATAACCATTGATCAAACACTTTCTTGGAAAAATCATATATCCAATATTTCCCGCCGTACCATTTCCATCCTAAAACGTCTTAATTACTCCCGTCACCCATTTCCTTTTGAAACCCGTAGGTTCCTAGTCACTTCCTTAATTTTTCCCCACTTTGACTAATGCTGTACGGTATATGGGGGCCTCTCTGGGGATCTCGAGGCGAAACTAAAACATTTGATAAATTGCTTTGTACGATTCATCTTCGAGATCCCAAGGGATGCCTCTGTTTCCCATTGTTATGCAGAGCTAAAGTGGCTTTATCCTTCCTACCGTCATAAGTATTTCCTGGCATGCTTCCTCTTTCAAGTCATCCAATCCCACTGTCCCTCATACATCTCCGAGCTCCTTCAATTCAAATCCTCTGTTCGTTCCCGCTCTTCTGATTTATACATAAGGGCCCACCGAACCGCTGTTTTCGACAAATCGTTCATTATTCGATCCTCATCTCTATGGAACTCCATCCCTTCCCATATCCGTCAATCTAATACCCTTCCTACCTTTAAATCCTGCCTGTTCAATCATTTCTTATCCATCCAGTCCCCATAAAATCGTAAATAGATACTACTGAAAATATGTACATAAATTATTAGTTCGATCTTCATTATTTGTACTCCAATTTTTGTTTATCTATTTTTTTTTATTTTCAACTGATCAAAATTGGAAAGCAAGTTATATGTATATGTGTGTATATATATATATTTTTTTTTTTCACCAAGACTGTTCAATTACTCTGTATTTTTATTTATGTATCTCTGAGGCTCCTTAGCCCTCATTTCTGTCTTCCTGTATTATTCTAATGGGACTCGTCCCAGAATAAATAAAGTATTATTATTATTATTATTAAATAATTACAGTATTTCAAAGTAAACAAGATAAAATTTAATTCAAATGAAATTAGAATTTGTCATTGTTAAAAACCATTTGAAGAGGACTTTTGAGCAGATAAACTAAGTTCTGTTGTTAAAACAATCATGAATTAATAGAAGTTTTTTTTTTATCACCCTTCAACTATACTACACACCCCACAGTCACTTTTAGAAAAATTTTCTTGTTTAATAAGCTTTAAGTCCACATTAATTAAGTTGAGGTTTATTATGAAATAAGATGAGATTCACTTCAAGCTGTGTAAAAAAGTGAGGTGATTTGATATCCTGTCACCCAAAAGTAGAAGAAAAAGGAAAGTAAATTTTATTCTGGGACATTAGAGGCTTCTACACTTAGTACAATATGACCCGGCAATAAAATACACTTTGAAGGTATCACTGCAGATTACCGCGCTCTGTAATGTAATATGTAATAGATGAATCCTATAATGTAATAGATATTAATACAACTACATCACCATATAGCTGCTGACAGGAATATCGTAATGGCGATACATATCACATTCTGTGTGTAGAAGACTTTAGTCCCCTAAGAATAATAAAAATGAACAATAGCAATTACATTTAGATTTTTCTGGGACATAATGGCAAGCAAATAATAATTAGATAAAGAAGTTATGTTGCATTAAAGTTATAATAAAAGACTAGCATAAGTAAATATATAACCCTGTATTTAAATAACGTAGAATAAGATGAGAAATACTAAATTACAAATATTTAATTCTAACATATATTCAGAAAAGTGATAGCTGAGGAGATAGAAAAACAATTAGTGTTTAAATTTAAAGTTAAAGATGAGATTTTGAGTATGGAGGTGGATAAGGAATTCCAAAGCAAAGTAGCACACATTATAAAGAATTTTTTTAAGTAATCAGTTCTATAAGAAGGTAATATAAAGGTTTGTGGGCTGAGATCTCGTATTGAATGAATGGACCTCTGTCCATGTTTTTTTAAGAAGGTATTTTGGTTTCAAGATTCATAAAAGGAATACAACTAAGACATATTGCTGTTGGAAAACTGGATCTGGCCACTTCTTATTGGTATACCAACTGAAAACATCGGAGCACCTGGAGACTCAAAAGATAAATATAATGAAACAAAGTACTCACGTTTTCAGCAAGAATGATTACAATAAATTATTGTAGTGCTTTAATTCATTTTTTCTCATGGCCTCATATGTATCATAATTAATTTAACTACATAAATACGTAATTTATCTAAAAAAAAATAAATAATTTTTCACATAATTATCATCAGAAGTGATTATGAAACTGTATTTTTATCAAGATATCTATCCTTGTTTTTATGAAACTTTTTCATGTAATAAGCAGGTTTCTTTCTTTTAAACATAAATATTAAGATTAGAAACATTTAGTTGACCACTTATAGATATGGATCAATTTATATAATAGAGATCTTAATGAAACACACAGTTTCATCACTTTAGATGATAAATACTCGAAAAATCATTATTTTAAACATTTTTTGTGCAGTTATTTAGGCAATTATATTTATTATAATAGATCCCAGGCAATGGAAAAAATTAATTAAGCCTTTCAAATAATTTATTGTAGACATTTTTCCTGAAGAAAACAAATACTTTTATGTGACAGAATGTCAAATTACCTCATTTTTTTGGCACAATTTCAGGTGAATCTAAACTTCTTTTATAAGCCTCAACTTAAGCTTATTAAACAAGAATTTGTTTTCTAAAATTGGGTGGCATATCTGTAGTACCAGATAATAATACCAGTTGGATAGTGATGAAAATAAAAGTGTGTATAATTCATGATTTTTTTAATATGGCAAATAGTTTATCTGTTCAAAAGTCCCCTTTTAATGGTTTTAACAATGACAAACTACTTTCATTTGAAGTCAATTTTATCTAGTTTACTGTTAAATATTTTTAATTTCTTAAATTAAATATTTTATTAGTTATCACTTCCTATTCTACAAAAAGATGTGACAATTAAGTAATCCAAATTAAATTTCCTAATTTTCTGTAAACAATCAGACAGTTGTTTATATAAAATTTATTGTAGCTCTTGAGGTCTACTGTTAACCCTTTAAATATTTCCCTCTACTTATAAGACACCCTGTATAATAAAATATTTATATTCAATAAATTCATAGAACTTTAATAATTGGATATGTATGTGTATTCACTTTAAAACATTTAATTTGTTTGAAAAAAAAATCTTTTTCTTTTAAATAAATCTGTTATTTTTGTTTTAGGGCCTTCCTCAAAGCTTCTTCTTTAAACTGTATGAGAGATTTAATGCTAAGGCATGTCACCTTTTTCTTTATTTTTTACTGCCAGTTCACTTTATTGGACAATATGAATAACCTTAGTTCAGATTACTGAGATTCTACAGTAATACCTGTGTATATAACTTCATAAGCTTATATAGTCAATTAATAATAAAATAATTAATTGAATTACCAATATTTCCAACTGAAGCCATTAAAAATTAAATTACGTACAGATGTACAGGTAACAATATGCAAAATAAAAAATATATATATACAACTTAAGACGGTAGAAAGCCAGGAACAGAATTTTTAACTAATAACGTGTAGTCATGAAGAAACGAGTCAAATGAACGGATCCTTTTAGTGAACGGTTCCTAAGGAACGGTCGTTTACTAAGATTTTCGTTCACTCCATCTTATTCTCTCCTGTCGGACTAAAAACTTCAAATTTGGAAAACAAGTGTTTGTGTGTGTCAAAAAGTGTTTAAAATATCATTAATTTTATGGGTTATGGCTTGATCAATTTCATTTATTTAATATATTTGAAAAAATAAGTTTTCAATAACCACTCCTGGACGTTTGGTCATCGTCGACTACGATACATGGGATACACTACCTTCTATTGAAAAAATTTGGGCTAGAACAGTAACTAGTCCAATGATTGAATTAAATACTAAAATGGACAATTGATTACAGAAGGAAAAAAAAACAGTGATGTATAAATTACTACTCATACTACCTAAATCACATTGAAATTTATACTATAAAAATAATGTTAATTAGCCTGTCTATTGTAACTTTATAATGTTCAAAATAGAGATTGACACAAATGAGGAAGTTTTTATTCATTATATAACATATAAGTACAGAGTTACTTTCTTTTGTATAAAACAGACTGAATGTAACCTCATATGTTTTAATAGCAGCCGATATATAACAATCTCTCAGGCTATATAAAAAATATTCTAAATTTACAAGATTTAACAAATAACTAACTTTTGAAACAATGGATCACATCACGTAATCGTTCAAATAAGCAGGTGGTCGATGCAAACGTTGTAACTTCCTGGTATGTGATCGACGGTTGGATGATTACATCAATAGGCTGATCATGTTCTAATGCTGGTTCATCATGTGCAGGACTGCGCTGGACCACAGGAAAGATCTCTGTGTTTGGCTGGATGGATATCCTCGAAGTGAGAGTGTTCTCAACGGGCTTTCTACTTCTCTGTTGGTCTTGTGTTGGAAGGTCTGCAAAAGAAACTCGTCGCAACATTTCCGTGCAGCGTAATTGGTCCATGGTAAAACTATCGACAAGCATCACCTTATAATGCAGTCTTCTCCGCTTATCTGTGACGACCCCGATTTCTATGTTGTGTTTCTTTCCCAAGTCTGTACATTTTAAACAAGACTCGGTCTCCTGCACTGAATGATTTAAGGAGGAATACATTGCTGGAACTGGTGTCGTAACAGATCTTGGGCTGTTGGTTTTAGAAAGTCTAATTTAGTAAGGATCTGTCGTCCTAAATACAGCTCAGCTGGGGTTTTATCACAACGCTGTGGGGTGGCTTGATAGCGAAATATGATATTTAGAATTTTCGATAGTAACATACCTTTTTCCATTCGCACGGCATCAACTGACAGGATACATGTGTAATCAGCATACGTAGTGATGACAGTGTTAAGATGAGTTTTGATATGAGCTATATAAACTGTGTAAAGGATAGGACCAAGGATACTACCTTGAGGAACTCCGACAGATTGAGAAAAGAGGGATGAATAGGTATTATTGTGATTTACTTTGAAATGTCTATCAGTAAGATAGGAACTGATGATAAGAAAATATGTAGGGGGAAGGAATTTACGGAGTTTGTAAAGCAATCCCAGACTCGATCAAACGCCTGCTCAACGTCGAGAAAAACTCCAGTGCAATACTTTCCACGCTCCAATGCAGAGGAGACAACATCTACCACACGATGACATTGCTGGATAGTGGAATAGGATGTGCGGAATCCAAATTGGTGATCAGGGATTATGTGGTTAGAATCTAGGATGGGATACAGGCGTTTTAATATGAGCTTCTCCAGGATTTTGCCCATGATGGGTAAAAGAGAGATAGGACGGTAAGGGGATGAGTATTCTGGAGGCTTTTTGGGTTTATGTATCAATTTGACTACTGATAGTTTCCAAGGACCAGGAAAATATGTGGAACGGAGTATGGCGTTATAAATGTAAGTAAGGAATAGAATGGCTTTTCGAGGAAGTAGTTTAAGAATATGAGATGTGATTAGGTCGTGGCCAGGAGCTTTGCGGAAGGGTAATTTGTGAATAATATTAGATATTTCTGAAGGATGAAATGCTTTAGGAGGAGGAGTCATTTGGAGTGGAATATCCAGTTCTGTTTCAATACATTCAAGCTGATTTGGATTAAGGATATCAGGATGTGGATTAAAAGTTTTGAAGAGGTGATGAGCAAAAATTTGGGATTTTTCTTCATCGGATTTGGACCAAGTTTGAGCTTCAGTAAGAAGTGGATGATTAAAGTCTTTAAATTTCAGGAGCCGCTTAGTCGTCGTCCACAGTGATTTGTCAGTAGGTGTAAGTTTTTCAGTAAAATTTAGTAAATTTTTAATTGTATTTTCTAATTTCTGATTTCAGTTTGTTAGTCAGTTGGGTGTAATGAGTTTTTTCTGTTGATATCTTGAAATATACAATTAAGTATTTAGTATTAGTTTTAATAATAAGTATTAGTTTATAATAAGTCTTAGTTTTATGTATTCATTTCATTTCGGATTGGAATAACCAACAGCTGATTGGGAGGAAAAACAAAAGACAGTTTAGAGAGAGATGGCGGAACCTCGCGAGTGTTGAGACACGCTAAGGATCTGGTTGTGTGAAATACTTTAGTTTTACGGTGTACGCCATATTTTCTTTTCCTATCCATGAACCTGTGATTATCAGCGACGAGTGCCGCTTGATTTTACAAGTCGATGAATGAACATTTCCACAACTGGAAGAAGTGGACTGGGGAGACACTGACGACGCTAGTTCGAATAAAATCTCGCTTCTTCAGATAACCTAATGTGCCAATTGAATAGATTTCAACCAGTAAGATAATGTAAATATGTACATATAAGTTTTTTTTCCTATCTATTTTTTTGTATTATATTGCAATGTATATTGTATATTTGTAGGTTAATGTTTAGTTCTATAATAATTTTATATTCTTTTCTTTGATAAATTAAGTTGATAAATTGTATTTTCTTTGTTTTCTAATGAATCTAATTTTTTGTTCATAATTTTCATTTCCTTTAACAGTTATTTAAATTAATAGAAATAATTAAATTCATCATTAGTATTAATAATAGCCAGTTTTATTTTCTTATTTTTCTTCTGCTTGTTTTTCTTAATTTATGTATAGACTATATTGTTTTTTTTTTTTATATGTTTAATAAGGAATTGTAAAACCCTATTCGAGGGATTAGGGAAAGTCATTATTAACCAAGTAAGAAGGTTCGATAGGTTATGAGGTTAATTAACATATGTTTTTTTTCAAACCCAAAGGTTCCGAGTTCGTAGCTCACTCCGCATCCTAATCTTTTTTTTTAATTGAATTTATTAAATTTTATTTTTTATTTTTTTATAATAATAATAATAATAATAAGGCTTAGCGAACCCGAAGGTTCGATGCCGACACCACCAATCGCTTGTTGCACACCTCCCTCCACCGTTCGCCGTCCAAACCCAGTCCCTTCAGATCGGCTTTAATGCAATCTTCCCACCTTCGCTTCGGTCTACCCCTCGGACGCTTACCATTCGGCACAGCAAATATTAACCTTTTAGGAATTCTTTCGTTACTAAGCCCAACAACTTTACAAGCCCATTTGATTCGCCGCGATGAAATTACCTCAATTATATTACCCGGATACAGCTCCCGCAATTCGGCGTTGTGTAACCGTCTGAACTCTCCGGTTAACTCATCCTTCTTCGATCCGAATATTCTACGCAATACTTTATTTTCAAAAACCTTAAGACGCTGCTCATCCCTTAATGTAAGCGGCCAAGTTTCGCATCCATAAAGAACTGTAGGCAAGATAATTGTTTTATAGATTCTAATTTTTAAGTTTCGGGACAAGAGGCGCGAACTAAGTAGTTTTGTCACAGAAAAATAACAAGCATTCCCCGCCTTCAGTCTAACCTTAATCTCTTCTTCAATTTCGTTTTTTCTAGTTATCGTAGAACCTAGATACCTAAATTTATCTACCTGTTCAAACATATTACCATCTATATCGATATCACCAGTAGTATCGCCATTTTTGCAGCTAACCATATATTTTGTTTTATCCACGTTTATTTCGAGTCCTAGTTCTTTACCGGCTTTCATTAACGTTGTCGTATTTAGTTTTATAGTTTCAACGTCTTCGCTTAACAGTACCAGATCATCAGCATAGCCCAGCACGGATGTTGTCCCACCCAGATCCAACCCTTTCTCGGTTCGCATTACCTCCCTAATAGCATGTTCTAATGCCAAATTGAACAGGACAGGCGAAAGAGAATCCCCCTGTTTTAAGCCCGAACGAACCTCAAATTTTTCGGACAAATTATTACCGATTCTAACTTTATTGAGTGTCTCCGTCAAGCACATCCTGACTAGATTTACTAGTTTTTTTGGAATCCCCTGCTCGATTAGAATATTATACAGTTTCTGGCGGTCAATAGAATCGTAAGCCTTTTTAAAATCTATATACAGCTGGTGAACAATACCGTTATACTCCAATTTTTTCTCTAATATTTGCCGTAAAGAAAATATTTGATCAATAGTCGAACGATTCCGTCTAAATCCGCATTGGTAGTCTCCGATAATTTCCTCGGCGTATTCCGTGATTCGACTGGTTAAGATTAAAGTGAATATTTTATAACATACCGGAAGGAGTGAAATTCCTCGATAGTTATTACAATCCGTCCTCGGACCCTTTTTGTGAATCGGAATAAGAATAGATTTTTTCCATTCTTCAGGTAATTTCTCGTTCACCCAGATTTTTTTAACCAACAGATGTATTTTAGAAACTCCAGCTTCCCCGCATGCCTTAATTAGTTCAGTAGGAATATTATCGATTCCCGCTGCTTTATATGATTTTAATCTTCCGATAGCTACTTCAACTTCCTCTTTACTTGGTCCTTCTATTAACGGTTCAGCACTCTGGTACTCAGAAGGAGGACACAGATCATAATTTCCCGTATTTAAAATACTGTCAAAGTGGTCCTTAAACTTATTCAATATGTCAACCGGATCGGTCAGAATATTGTTATTATCATCCCTAATTCCAGACGTTACGGGC